CACTGATGAGAGTCTTGAAGTTGTATACTACCTTGGTACCCACTCTTCCTTGGAGGAAGCCAATCTTACACAAATGTGCTTCATTAATCAGATCAAACCTTGCCTTGTTCTCCTTGAATCTGTACCCCTTGGCTTTCAAGATCTTTGTTACCACCCATCCATGGGCCAGCTTTGCATCTTGCTTTGTAGAACCCCACATGCACTTTTTGTAGAACATCAAAGACCTTGCTAATTGAGAGGCAAGGCAAAGTGGGTATTCATACCCTTCATAGGGTTCCCCATCTTCATGAGTTGGCATCAGCGGTCTCAGCCCTACACCAAGAAGCATCAGATCTCCTTTGTGAACTCTTCCAACATCAATCTTGAAGTAGAAGCTGTGAGAGAGAATCTTGTGCACATATCTCAGAAAACTCCACATGTCCAAGCCCATCTCCTTGAATAGTTCTTGAATCCCTTGGGTAGTAAATAAAAGCTTCAAAGGAAGCCAAGAACTCTTGAGACTCCTGTTCATAAGCGATCTCTCTCATCTCCAAAAGTGACTCAACACCCATGTTCCCAAGCAAAGTCTTGACATCTTCATAGATGCCAATCTTCTTTAGAAAGTCCAAATCAGGGAATCTCCCTTGCTTGATCTCTATCTGTTGAAACTTAGCCAGATAATCAAGTGTTTCTGGTTCAGTTTTCTTGAACTTCTTTGATCCCTCTTCAATGGTGCCTTGGGAACCACCAGCTGAGCTGCTTGAGTCACTTTCAGTCTGTTCACTCTCAGATACCACAGCCAACTGTTTCCCCTTCTTCTTTGAACCAGAAGCAACCACCAAAGCTTTTCCTTCAGGCCTTGTCCTTTTTGGCGCTGGATCACACTTCCCTTGCTTTGTGGTATTCTTTGCACCTTGACTTTTTTCTCTTGGCTTTGAAGACCCTGAGACCAAACCTTTTCCCTTTGATGCATTGCCCTTCTTCTTGGCCAGAGAGTTGGTTCTTTCAGTCATCTGCCAAGAGATTCTAAAAAAAATGTTAGTACAAGAACAAGCTTCACAAAATTCTTCAAAATTTTGAAAAACATTTGTTGCAAGAATCGATTTTAAAACCACATGAACAGGTTTCTCAAGCCAGGTATCAATCCAATAAGTTCATAGCAATGCAAAAACAAGAGTGCAAAGCAAAGACTCAGCAAGAAACCAATTCATCTCTTTTTTTTCATGAATTACTTGCAACAATTTTCAAAACTCAAGAACAAGGAATCACCAACAAAGTGCTCTGTTTTCCAAGACTATCTAGCACCCTAGCATTTATAAAAATAATCCCAAGGTCTAAAACAACCTATCAAAATCGATTCCACACTTTGAAACTCATAAATCACCATTGAAGAACATGAAAAAAGGTGAGTTTTAACAGGATGAAATACCTTGGGATTAAGATGCAACGAGTTCGAAATGCAATCAGGATGATGTTAACAACTCAAAAACGAGCTCAGAGCACTTTGAATCAACAAATTTGGTAGAGAAATGAGAGAGGTATGATGAAAACAATGGAGAGAAATGAGAGAAAGAGTTGCAAACTCGGGTTTGTTGTGAGTAAGAGAGAGTGTGGGACAGGGTCAAGCCTTTGGACTGGTGGTCAATAGATCTATTTTGACCAGTCAAGGCTTTGACCCGTCCTTTTCTCATTGACCGGTGATATATCTATATTTTACATCATTTAGATTGCATTATAGAGTCCTCATCATGTGTTTTCTCATGTAAATTGAGTCTTTAGGCGTTAAAATAGGACTTAGGGCTTGCATTAGGTCCCAAAGAGTTTTGCATGTTTTGAAGTCTTTATCAGGAGCTTTGGAGACCAATTGGAGCCTAAGAAGAGGAACAGAAAAGAAAACGGTGAAGAAAAGGGTCAAAAATGGTGAAAACCGCTTGGAGGAATTTCTCGGCCAAATCTCGTACCGGCTGGTCGGAAACCTCGGCCAAAATGTTTACCGGACGCTCATTACCGGCCAAAAACCTTACCGATCGGCCAGAATCGAGTATCGAGTGCAAAAATACCACGGGACAAGTTTTTGACCGAGGCAAGAATTTTTACGACCAAAAAGCTTACCGCGGTACACAGCCCTCGGCCATTTTCTTACCGCGGGAAGGTTTTTACGACCAAAAGTTGTCCTTGCCCGCGCAATTCAGAGATCAGAAATCCGGGGAACCTTCCGGTCCGAATCAGTTGGCAGGGTCTTCACCAAAGTTGGAGATAACCAAGAAAAGATTCCAGAACAGTTGGAATCATCCAATTCGGACCAGTGGAGAGAAAGATATGGCTTCCGGAGCATTCACCAGCATTGCGCGTACCCGAGAACTGAACGGCGAACTTCAAAGATCATGGCGGACGGAGCCCCTCCAGACCGAACCAGCTTACCCGGTCTTCACCAAAGTTCGAGATCCATGGAAGATCTTCGCAGAGCATTTGGAATCGCTCAATTCGGAGCAAAGGTTTGGAAGATAGGGTCTCCAGAGTTCACATCGGTCTAAAAGTCTATTTTCCGGTGATTTCAATGCGGCGCAAAGATGTTAAATCCAGGAGGCCTTCCACTCCCCAAGCTCTGATGGTTTCTTCACCAAAGTTCGAGATTATTGAGTCATCTTGACTGTGGAACTGGTCCCAGAGCAATTGGAGTCGTGTGCTGAAAGTTACTGCTTCCGGAAGGTGACATGGTTGATACAAGCCTAAAAGAGTTGCGATACGCGCTCAGTATTCTCACAAGCCTCGGTATCTTTACCTTGGCGTCACTCAAGTCAAGGCTCATATCTTGGAAGTATTCTGGACTAGACCTCGTGCCAAAGCCTTGGCATGGTTAGATCGAGGCATGCATACGTAAGAACTGAAGCTGGAAACGACTAAGTGTTGAAAGTACACCTCGGTGTAATGACCTCGGCGTGCATGCCGGACTGTGTTCTCCCAAGCACCTCGACATCATGACCCCTCGAAATTTTATCCCGAGGTCCCTTGTCACGAACCCAGAATCAAGAACAGAATGGCTCAAGAACATACACGTGAGGATAGATCAAAGACTAGGGTTCATGCATGTTCTTGACGTGTTCTTCACGAGATCTTCATCTGGATCCTGACTCACGTGCACGCCTCGGCATGAAGACCTTGGCTTCACTTTCCGACACACCGTGGCACTCACCCATCAACCCAAGAAGGCGGTTCAGTACCCGGTTTGTTCCAGGCTGACCCTTGACACTTTCCCTTTGCTATAAATACATTTTGAGACTAAAAACCTAGTTATCTTATCTCTTATCTGTTTTTAGCTCTAAGAACTTGCCTCTTTTGTGAAACTTGATTAATCTAATCCGATATCTCGTTTTTGCATCAGAATCTTGTTCTTTCTTTATTTCTTTTATCATCCAACATCAAACTCCTTATCATGACTAGCTACACGTCTTGCAAAGGACTTAGTGAGCTCGTTATGATCAGTGAGTAGTCGTTTAAGCGGCTTTAGATAGGTAGATTAGGGTGCTTTCAAGGTGGATTAATGGGTTTAGGTGTCTAGTCTTGCATGTTTCATTCCTTAACCGACGAGATCTCTAAGCTGGATCCAAGCACATCACTTGAGGTTCAGATCTGAGACACATCTCGCATCAGAAGTGTTTGTAGAAATGTCTGAACCACTCGGTTAAGGGTTTAAGAGTCTTCATCGCAAGAGTGATAGTTTGTTCTCTTAAATGACGTTTTTGAACCGATTCTTATTGCTGAATGATTCGTGCTTCTCAAAAGGGATTTTGGTATGAAAGAGGATCAGTTTAGACGTTTAATACTTTCATGAGAAGATTAACGTGCCTTGAGTTCAAAGTCAAATGAAATCGCTTGATAAAATGATTCATTAGCCCCTTAGTCTAACTTGGAAGCACCCGAGTCAAATATCCTGTCTAAAGCTTCTGCCTTTATCATTCATTACCATCATCTGAATCACCTGTTTGTTATTTGCATCTTCATTAGTTTAAATCTCTGCTTTTATTTAACTTTATTGCTCATTTGCCTGTCAATCATCGTCACCAAACTTTTATCATCTTGTCTTGACTTAAGTGAACAAATGACATAGGCTAGTGTCTCGTTTACAGGCTTGGTTTGACACCCCTTATACTACTTTGACAAGGGGATTGATAACCCTTCTAAGAGCCTGAAAACCATTAGTTATCAATTGGCGCCGTTGCCAACTTGTAGGAGCATTAGTCTCTTGTTTGTTCTTGAGTTCAAGCTTTTCTTTCCATTGTTTTACTAACTTCTTTCCAAGTTCTTGTTTTGTTTTCAGGTGCATGAATACCAGGTCTCGGAGCACAGGATCGCTTTTCCCATACGACGATAACATCGACAGATTCGAAAGGCGAGCTCGCGAGAGAGAACGGCACTTTGACAGACTTGGAATGGCAGAACAACAGAGAATGGAGCAACAGGCTCAGGCAGCCGAGCACCAGGCTCAGGCTAATCAGGCGCAGGCAGGAAGAAATGAACAACAAGCCTATGTTAATCAGCAACAAGCTCAAAGAAACGAACGGCTTGCTCAGCAAAACCAACACCAAGCGAATAGAAATGAACAACAAGCCCATCATGTTCATCCGCCACCGCCCCAAGTTCAGAGACAACATCCTCCAATCTGTGTTGGAGAGAATGATCAAGCTAATGCGCACCAATACCGAGCTGGGATTCAAGCTCCACCAGTTCAAAACAACAACTTTGAAGTTAAAGCTTCCCTGCTCAATATGGTGCAAAACTCAAAGTTCCACGGTCTAGCTGGAGAAGACCCTCTCGAGCATCTAGATCAATTTGATCGGGTTTGCGACTTAACCAAGATAAATGGCGTCTCTGAAGATAGCTTCAAGCTACGCTTGTTCCCTTTCAGCCTCGGTGATAAAGCACACCAGTGGGAAAAGAATATACCGAGGGGTTCTATACAAACCTGGGAGCAGTGTAAACTGGCGTTCTTATCAAAGTTCTTTTCCACATCACGCACGGCTAAGCTCAGGAATCAGATATCAAGTTTCACGCAGCATAATAACGAGAGCTTTAGTGAAGCTTGGGAACAGTTTAGAAGCTACACTAACCAATGCTCACACCACGGCTTCTCAGAGGCATCCCTCTTGGGTACTTTATACCGAGGTGCACTCCCCAAGATCAGAAACCAACTCGATACAGCTTCAAATGGGAATTTTCTTGGAAAAGAGATCACTGGGGCAATGGAACTAGTTGAGAACCTAGCCATGTCCAATGACACGTATGGAGAGGACTTTGATAGAGCAAACCGTACAGAGGGATCTAGTGATGAACAGCGCATGAAAAAGGATATAAGAGAGCTTCAGAGTAAGCTTGACAAGGTTTTGATGGCGACTCAAAAGCCAATACACTTTATAGGCGAGTTTGATGAGCAAGGGCCAAGTTTTGACAATGTCAATGAAGATGGTCTAACACAAGAGGAGCTGAATTAAATAGGGAATCAGCAGAGGTATCAGCGGTTTAACAACTACAACAGTAACCCAAACCTCTCATACAGAAACCCGAATGTAGCTAACCGTCAAGACCAAGTGTACCCTGCTCAACAACAACAACAAAGCTATGCTCAAAAGGCTCCTTTTCAGAATACCTTCCAGCCCAAGCAACAGTTCAGTGGGCAACAGCACGGCTACACTCAGCAGAATCAAGCGGCTCAGAGTAACAACTTCAACAACCAACCGCAGCAACACAAGTTTCCACCAGGATTCCATCCGCAGCCGATGGGTAATCAACAACAGATTCAGGGAACGGGTCAGAATCAAATGGGGAACGACGTCTGTGGGATACTACAGCAACTGTTACAGGGCCAGCAAATGGTTGAGAGCCAGCACGCGACAATGCAGCAAGATATCAGAGAGCTTAAGCAGAATCAAGCTTCTACATCATCAAGAGGCCCGGCTTTACCAGGTAAACCGGAGCCGAACCCTAAAGAGTATGTGAACGCCATCACATTGAGGAGTGGTAAGGAATTACAAACTCCAACGCCTAAGACAAAGCTCATTGAGGCCAATGAGCAATTAGAGGGGGAGGCAGCCTCAGACGATGCGTGTAAAGAAGCGGTCTTAGAGAAGGAACCGATCAAGGACAAAGGAAAAGAGGTGGAAAAGACAACCGAGCTTGAAAAGCCCTATGTTCCACCACCACCTTATCAACCCAAGATACCGTTCCCAGGGCGTTTCAAAAAGAAAATCTTAGACAAGGCCAAGGCGGTCTTTGAGAAACACTTGGAGAACACGCAACTCACCTTACCCAGTATAGATGCTTTCTTAGCTATACCCCAGCTTGAGAAGTTTCTAAAGGACGCGATCCTCAACAAGACAAAAGAGCTCTAGGGTATGGTGATACTGAGCCATGAGTGCAGTGCCATAATACAAAGAAGATCTATACCAAGGAAGCTATCCGATCCGGGCAGCTTCACTTTGCCGTGTGCTTTAGGTCACCTGAAGTTCTCAAACTGTTTATGTGACCTTGGAGCTTCTGTGAGCTTAATGCCTTACACGGTGGCCAAGAGATTGGGATACAAAAGCTACAAGCCAGCCAAGATCTCTCTTGTATTAGCTGATAGATCGATTAGATTACCGGTGGGGTTGCTTGAGGATCTACCTTTGAGGATCGGTGAGATAGAAATCCCCACGGACTTCATAGTTCTTGAGATGGACGAGGAACCATTAGATCCTATCATCTTGGGCCGACCGTTCTTAGCAACCGCAGGAGCCATAATAGATGTGAGAGGAGGAATGATTGAACTACACATCGGTTCCGAGACTATGAAGTTCAACGTGAAGGAAATGATAAAGAAACCGACCATTGGAGGTCAGGTTTTCTATGTGGAGGTAATGGAGGAGCTGGCTGATGAGCTCTTTGAAGAGTTGAACGCAGAGGATCCGTTACAAGTGGTCTTAACGCGGGAACAAAGCGAGCACGGGTACTTGAACGAGGAAAGCGAGGTGTACAAGCGTCTTTTGGACCAACCGAGGGAACTTGGAGCTGAGGCGAGGTTTTTGGAGCTCCACACGAGCAGCCTCAACATTCTAGAAAGCGACGAGTCAAAGGGAAAAGAAGAGACACCTCGGGATATCTTGGCCGTGACAACTCATACCGAGGCCGATGGTAAACCCCGCGAGAATGAAGCAAAGGCCGAGGAAGCTGTTCCGGGCCAATGCAGCTTTGATGCCGATTGGAATGAGGCAGACGCACCTCCTGTTGAGCTCAAGCCTCTACTAACAGGGCTCAGGTATGCATTCTTAGGTCTAAACTCTACTTTTCCTGTGATCATAAACGATAACTTGCTTGAGCATGAGGAACGTGCATTACTTAGTGAAATAAGGAAATTCAGGAGAGCCATAGGGTATTCCTTGGCTGATATTAGAGGAATCTCTCCTGATATATGCACCCACAGGATCCACCTAGAGGACCAAGCCATGTCCTCAATTGAGCACCAACGTCGACTTAACCCGAACGTCAAAGAGGTGGTTAAGAAGGAGATACTAAAGCTCCTTGAGGCAGGGATAATATATCCAATCTCTGACTCTCGGTGGGTATCTCCTGTACACGTTGTGCCCAAGAAAGGTGGGATCACGGTGGTGAAAAACGATAAGGATGAACTCATAGCCCAAAGAACTATAACCGGCCATCGCATGTGCATTGACTATAGGAAATTGAATTCTGCATCAAGAAAAGATCATTTTCCTTTACCATTCATTGATCAAATGCTTGAACGGTTAGCTAATCATCCTTATTTTTGTTTTCTCGATGGATACTCGGGGTTCTTTCAAATACCTATAGACCCCCGAGATCAAGAGAAAACGACATTCACCTGCCCTTATGGCACTTATGCTTATAGAAGAATGCCATTCGGTTTGTGTAATGCACCAGCCACTTTTCAAAGATGTATGATGCACATTTTCTCTGATCTAATTGAAGAGAAAGTTGAGGTGTTTATGGATGACTTCTCCGTATACGGCTCCTCTTTCTCCGAATGTCTTGCTAATCTTTCTCAGGTTCTCAAGCGGTGTGAGGAGCATAGGCTTGTCTTAAACTGGGAAAAGTGTCATTTCATGGTCCAAGAAGGCATTGTCTTGGGACACAAGGTATCAGAGAAAGGCATCGAGGTGGATAAGGCCAAGATCGAGGTGATGGTGAACTTACAAGCCCCGGATTCTATGAAAGGAATAAGAAGCTTCCTTGGCCACGCTGGGTTCTATAGACGGTTCATCAAGGATTTCTCCAAGATAGCCAGGCCTTTGACCAAGTTATTGTGCAAAGAAGTGGATTTCAACTTTGATGAAGAATGTGAGGAAGCGTTCAAGAGAATCAAGGAGGCTTTGATCAGTGCACTGATTGTACAAGCCCCTGATTGGTCTTTACCATTTGAAGTGATGACCGATGCATCTGATTATGCTGTAGGAGCTGTCTTGGGACAGAAGAAAGATAAGAAGCTCCATGTGATCTACTATGCCAGCCGCACTTTGGACTCGGCTCAAGAAAAGTATGCCACCACCGAGAAGGAAATGCTTGTCATTGTGTTTGCATTTGACAAATTCAGGAGTTATCTAGTGGGATCAAAGGTCACGGTTTACACAGATCACGCGGCCTTGAGGTACCTGATGTCTAAGAAGGACGCTAAGCCGAGGCTTTTGAGATGGGTCTTATTGCTCCAAGAATTTGACATGGAGATACTTGATAAAAAGGGCATTGAAAACGGAGCCGCAGATCACCTCTCAAGGCTGAGGATTGAAGAACAGGTCCCTATAGATGATGCTTTACCCGAGGAACATCTCATGTTAGTCCGGTCTTACTTAGAGGTGGAGGAAGCCAATATGATCAAGGAAAGAAGCCTTCCATGGTTCGCGGATCTTGTGAACTACTTGTCTTGCGGATTAGAGCCACCAGACCTTGATACTTATCAGAGGAAGAAGTTCTTTAGAGATGTGATGAGGTATCATTGGGATGAGCCATATCTTTACGTGCTTAACAAGGACCATCTCTATAGGCGATGCTTGGCCGAAGAAGAGATCCATCCAGTGCTACAAGAATGCCACGGCTCATCGTATGGTGGTCATTTAGGTGCGTTCAAGACAGTTGCCAAGGTTCTACAGAGCGGTTTCTGGTGGCCGACCATGTTCAAAGACGCCCAGGAAGTGGTCTCGAGGTGTGAAGCTTGTCAAAGGCACGGAAACATATCCAAAAGGAATGAAATGCCCCAAAACCCAATCTTTGAAGTAGAAGTCTTCGACTGTTGGAGCATTGACTTCATGGGTCCCTTTGTAAGCTCATATGGGAATCAATATATCCTTGTAGCAGTGGATTATGTGAGTAAATGGGTTGAAGCAGTTGCATCTCCGACCAACGATTCAAAAGTGGTGGTAAAACTCTTCAAGAGTATCATCTTCCCACGGTTTGGAGTACCAAGAGTAGTCATCAGTGATGGGGGAAGCCATTTCATCAACAAGACTCTTGAGAGTCTTTTGAAGAAGCACGGAGTAAAGCACAAGGTGGCCACCCCTTATCATCCGCAAACCAGCGGCCAAGTGGAGGTTTCCAACCGTCAGATAAAGGCCATTTTGGAAAGGACCGTGAACTCATCCAGGAAGGATTGGAGCAAGAAACTTGACGATGCTCTGTGGGCTTACAGAACCGCCTACAAAACCCCCATTGGAACCTCACCGTTTAACTTGCTCTATGGGAAGAGCTGTCATCTACCGGTTGAGTTGGAATACAAAGCCTTGTGGGCAGTGAAACTTCTGAACTTTGACATCAAGACCGCACAAAAGAAGAGGGTTTTACAGCTTCATGAGCTTGAAGAGATCCGGTTAGATGCTTTCGAGAGCTCTAAGATCTACAAAGAAAGAACCAAGGCGCTCCATGACAAGAAGATACACAAGAGAGAGTTCAAAGAAGGGGACCAAGTTCTGTTGTTTAACTCAAGACTCAAGCTGTTCCCTGGGAAGCTGAGGTCTAGGTGGTCCGGTCCATTCACGATTCTTGAAGTAAGACCCTATGGAGCCGTGGTTTTGAAAGGAAAAGATGGACAAGGATTTGTGGTAAACGGCCAGAGGGTAAAGCATTACTTGG